AAGGAGCAGCGAGGGTGCGAGTGAAGAGGAGAGGATCTATCAATTGATTATTGTGTGAAGAGAAGTGCCAGATTGTCGGTCGGGGAGAGTCAGTTGTGGCCGCAGTAATTAAGCCAACAACAGCGGCCGAGAAACTGAAAGAAACTGCGCAGGGACCATGTGGTGGAGCCACAGCAACCGCCATGCACACAATCCGGTCACTTTGGTTCATATTCGGTCGGCAAGCGAATCGGAAGGCAGGTGATGGTAAGGTCCAACATGGCGGGACTTGATGCCCCAAACCTGTCAGCCCGCTTCCGATGACTTTCCGTCTTCCACCGACTTGTCGTCAACAAGTATAGTTGCGCTCAATTCCGCCCTGCCATCACTTCACTCGGCCTCGGAGAAGTTTGCCTTATTTGGTCGGGCCTGGTGGGACGTATTCCGTATCTCGTTCCAGGAATCTGGGGGATGTGGGTGGATGCGAAGGTCCAAGCAATTATTAACGTCACGTGTTTTCGTGCAGGCGAGCAGGTCGCGGATAAGGACCCAGGGACCCAAAAGTAGTGCGGAGAGGGTGTCTTCCATCATCTGTAAACAAAGCCAACACCACCTGCGCCCAACGAGATGCAACGATAGCACGACCACCGAGATCCCACATGCTCACTACTCTGCGGTAAATGTCAGGCCACGTTGTACATCATGGTGTGCCACGCACGCACAATGATGACAGCGACCGGGAATCTCACGCGACGCTGTTCGCGGGGCAAAAACTATGGTTCTCCCATGCTATCCCCCAACGGCAGCAGATGATCCAGAAAGCTCAACTCAACGGCGCTGTGGTTGTGAGTAGAGATACCGAGGCCGATGTCAGACTTGTCGACCACCTCAGGAAGAACAATGCGCCAGGAACATACTCGTACAGATACGTTGAACTCTCCCTCCGTAATGGCCAACTCGAGAACCTGGCCGACCATGCCGTCGGAGCGCCCTCACGAGTCTCCCGGCCTGTCGGCAGTACTATCACAGCCCCTAAGTCTGGAAGGACACCCTTCACTGCGGAGGATGACCAGTTCCTCTGGGACTGGATGAAACCCTTCATTGACCGTGGAGGGGCTTGGAAGGGAAATGAGATCTACAAGCAGATGGAAGAGGCGAATCCGAGACATACCTACCAGAGTTGGCGTGACAGATGGATTAAACACACTCAATTTCACAAGCGACAAGTCCGTGAGACTGTCGCCCCCGAGCGGCCTCGTATGGACGCGCCAGAAACCCGTCTATCGCATAGTGTACACAAAAGAAGGCATCGGCCAGAATTACCTGATGATGGAGGCAGCGCACGAGCCAAACCTGGGGTTGATCCAAGTCAGTGTGTAACAGCCGTGAGTGGCAGAGTCGGAGACAGGCTGCCAAACATTGCTGCTCCACAGGGGGAAGTAAGCCTCACTGTCCCGACCACTCCTAGAAGTCCCGAAGTTGTTGCCGATACGCATCACGATGTCAGCCAGACACAATCCTCAACAAATCCCCAGTCTATGATCCGCACCTCATTCAATATAGAGGAATATGACGAACTTTATGAGTTGGCAGCGACATTTGAGGGTGGACAGTTCATTGATTTCGACACGCCATGGGAGGAGTTGGCCCGGCAGCGTGGTACGCATACACCTGCCGAATGGAAGCATTTCTTTATTTCGAGGATTATTCCTGACTATTGCAAAGCTAAGAACTTGACTGTGTCAGAGGTTGCTCCTTATTTGGAGGGCGAACCTGACGAACATACTACAAACACAGTCGAACTGCTCGACTCCAGGGAAAAGGTTGAGGCGACATCTGTCACATCTGAAACCCAAGACGATGGCGAATGTGCAAATTGCTTTACCACCAAAACTGTCAGATGGCGACATGATAAAGAGGGCAAGCTCATTTGCGATGAATGTGCCAAGTTTGTGAGACGACATGGCTATCACAGGCCATCGACAGCTTTGTCAGTCGACGATGCTGCGATGAACAAGGACGAAGACGAACAACCCGAAATACATGCAAGAAAGCGTCGCATCACAGACGGTCGAACCAATTCCGCCGCCAACACCAATCTTCCCCAAAATACCAGTCGTGTAGGCAGCACTGGGCCTCCAGCGCCTGTTCGCGGAGACTACTCTCAACAGGTACCGTCTGACACACCACCCTCATTTCAGCTTGAGACTTCGCTCACAAGTCGTCCACCTGGACCTAACGAGTCAAGGAAGAGGCGTGCTGGAAAGGGTTCACAGTCTCAGTCTACGCAGGAATCAAGTCAATCCGGCACTCAAAGCCAGGCCGTGGATGACAGTCTTCGACAGGAAAGCCACAATCAAACGCTACGGTCGAAAGGTCTGACAGCAGATATGCAAGACTTCCAGTCTAAGGAAAGTGATACCCATGCACAACCTTCAACTGTCAGTGAAAACGACCCATCACGAGAAGGTGCAACCGCGTTCCTGGTCTCTCCGGGAGGGAAACGTAAGCCTACGCAAGATGAGCTGGGGGACATAAGTTATTGGCAACACTCTTCAATCAGGATACAGAACACAATCCGCAGTTCGTCACGCAGCCTGGCAGTGACGGATTCACAGTGGGATGATGCGCTCCTTCACCCAATGGCTTCGTCTAACCCGCCAAAGCGTGCACGAACCTTTCGTGACTACTCCCCAGTCTCTGCCACGGAATCTGACAACGATGACGAGATGCGCAAACACTATAGGAGATCAAAATCGGGTCTAGCTGCAGATTTCAGCGGCTCTGCTACCCTTTTGCGAGACCAGGCGTCTGAACAATTCGAGACTGCTCAGGAGTCTATCCCGGAATACGAGACAGGACCAGAAGAACCGCTTCAGTCACACGGTCAGAGAAAGACACCACTGGCACTGTCTAATCGGCTTGAAGACATCAAAGCCGAGCTTGACATAGCTATTGAACACCCGGAGTCTTCAGACAGGATCGATGCAGTTAGCGACAGTATATCTGATGTGGCTCATGAAGAAAATACCAGGGAGAATGTCACGAGGCTGACAGAAATAGATGAATCCGACCACAGCCAGGATTCTCTGAAAGTCCAGCGCAGGCTGAGTGACCACAGCTTTCTTGAACCTCCTCCGATTCTCTCATATCCTGCTCTTGGGAACCCGCAAGCGTCACCTGGCGCTGCAGACAAGCCAAGTTCCTCGGAAGATGCCAGTGGCAAGAGGGGAGAAGTCGAGGAAGAGCAGATAGAACAAGAAGACACCAGAGAGGATTCGTCTCCCGAGCCTGACGGTCACGAAACAGATGAATGGATGGCTCTTCAGCAAACCCTGCATTCAAGCGTCCCGGACTTGGAACCCGTGCTGTTCAAAGCCCTCGAGTCCACCAGCTTCGATTTTGGACTTGCAAGTGAAGTCGTGGAGATAATGCTAACAAATCGACGTCGTGTCCTAGAGAAGCAGCGAGGGCGGGGCCTAAAGAGCGGGACCGGAAGGTTGACTGAGCTAGCAGAAGCCAACTTGGATATGGAGAGTCTCCTCCCACAAGCTATGCGGGGCGTCTGGACTGAGACGGATGACTCTCTCCTCCTTAGTCCAGACGCAAACGATATGAATACGGTGTTGAGGAAGCATGGGCGAAACGTATGTGATTTGCGCTTCGAGTTCTTGCGGCACTTTGTGGAGGAGTGACGGATGGATCGCGAGGACCAACAGCACTTAGAAGTCAATCTGTCGCAACGGAAATGGAGTTGTCCGAGCAGACGAGGATCTACATATGAAACGGCAACTTGTCGGAGAGTGGGTGAGCTGTGGTCTTTTCATTACACATTTTAAGCTGTCTATACTGGCATGCCTGCGATAGCTGAGATATTCTAGGAGAGGCCGGAACAGAGCTGATCCAGATACTACAAGCTATTGCTGAAATGAAAGGCAAGCAGGGCAGAAAAAGTAAAGAGACGGAAGAAGAAAGACACGCGTAGCCTTTGCGTACTGTATCACCCGCCACCAAGAACGCTACACCCTAGACCTCCTGAGGAAGCAGTACCAGCCAGCTCTCGCGATAGAACCGGCTACAAGAAAAACAATTCCATGCTCACCCACCAATATCTACAGCGTCATCTTCGCTCCCATCCAGTATACGAGTACGCGTCCTATACTGTCTGGTTCCAGCCCAGTCGGAACCAGCTTCGGGCTTCTTGGGATGTACCACGTTCAACTGAGCCCAGCTTCGAACCCAAACCCGAGGACAAGGGCCACATCACGAATGCAAACAAGGGAAAGGACGTTTGTCCAGAAGAGAGAAGACAGGGTCTGGTGCTGTCCGTAGGCTGAGCTGTACTCGCGAGGTACGTCGAATTGGCAGTGTTCCTCCATCTCCCAAACCACCACGATTCGGTGGTTCCCTAGATCTTTCGCAAGAAGGGGTTGAAAAAAAAAGGAAGAAGAAAAAAAAAAACGGGCTCCCCATCTGTTTTGCGGTCTTGCTATGTTTTCTCGATGTCTTCTCCCCCTCTTCTTGAGAGGGTTTCACTGAGACATGCAGCTCTCAGCTGCTCACTGCCACACTACTTAGTGACATTGTGCTGCTCCGTTGCTTCGAGGCGACCCGTTGAAATCATTCATTTCTTTTCCCCCTGTCCATGTCGGTAATACCTACCTCTCCTTGACCAGTTTTTTCCCAATACCTGCAACACTCCTGGCCGTGAAATCCCCTGTGTGATGTTCCTCTCTCTTCCATGGTCAAAACACACACGCTGTGGCCTCCCCCGGGGATGCCGTTGTTTCCAGCGCCATACATACGCAAAAAGAAGTCATCAAAATCTCCGAGCAATCCAAGAAAGGAATCACCCCCGGGGAGGCTGCCATCACTTTGTCGACTGAAAAGATTAGAAAAGTGGTCGAGGAAATAATATACAGGCTTCGGTGGGAAGAAGCTTGGACCAGAGTCCACTAACTGCAGCTCGTTTGTCAGAACATTCCGTGCTTCCGCTCTTGGATTATTTTTAGGCTCTTATCTTACTTGAACTTGAGATGTTCTTCGTAGAACTTGAGCATCGCTTTGGGGCAATGATCGGCTATGAGATCCATAAGGACTTTTGACCGTTTGCCATTCTTGAACTTGATGTAGGCGAATAATTTGCCGGCTTCATCTCGCTCCACCGTCTCGACCTTGGCCACCAGGTCCTCCCAGTTTTCTTTGTCGGGGAGCCACGTACCAAGTGCCTCCTCGGCAGGATTCGCTGGTGCGTCAGTGTTGCGCTTCCGACGCTTTGCTGCGGGCCGGTCAACGGTAGAGGCTGGTGTGCGCAACTTTTGCTTGGACTTTGCCCTCTTGACAGATGGAGTTGGACGTCCGCCAATCTTTTCGTGGTAGTCTGCGAGGAGCTGGCGAGCATGTCTAGAAGAAAAAAAGGGTGGAATTGTGTTAGCCGTGGTCGCGGTCACGATCGCGACGCTCTGCCGAACAAGATAGAGGCATTGGTCAGACATACGGTAATAAATGCTCTTCAGGTTCCCAGGTATTTTCTTTTTCACTATAGCCTTGCCATTTGATCAAGTAGAACACCTGGCCTTTTTGGAATTTGTGATTTCGAATCGTCTCGACGTTGTACATGGCTTCTTCTTCAATGCTTTCCGAGTCGTCGTCTTCGGAGTCGTCGTCGTCTTCTTTGGCCCTGCCTGTCGTATCATCCTCTGAAGCCCGAGCCTTGCCTTTAGGAGCCTCTGGCGCCTCCTCCTCATCATTGTCGTCGTGGGGACTCTCTTCCTCTTCATCAGCCTTGTCTTTCAAATCTCCGTTGACTTGTTTCTTCGCCGCGGAGTCGGCGTCCGGCTCTGGGTCGTGAAAGATGTCGTCTGCATCTCCAATATCTTCTGCGCGACCGGTCAGCTATTGGTCAAGGCTGTGCGCGCGACAAACCGCTGCCCGGGAGGTGAAGCAGAGGACGAAGTGGAGTCGACAATGATCCAACCTACCGAATCCTTGAGGCATTTTGAACTGCTGCAAGCTGTGGATAGAGCGCGCACAGTTGGATGACAGTTCTAGCACAAACTTGCGACGCGACAGGATTGAGATGTAGAGTGGCACCAGCTTTCACAACGACTTACTCGAGACGAGAGAGGGACAATATCGCGACGCGGAGAAAGCGACTGCGGACCTCACGTGGGAAATCCATCCCCATTCCGCTGCTTTAATCTGGCGCTAGCGGTTTATCTTGGCGTTCACCGTATTGGAACTTGTCGTCCCTGTTCACAAACGCTGCTTTAATCAAGTGGCAGTGGTGGACGAGGAACAAAGGGTATCAATCTCCATACAATCCGGCCCAAACCCTCATACAAAACAACGAATCCACGCTTCGTAGCCGTCATTGTGTCGGAGTTTCTCTCAACGTCTGCCCTGCATAGTCCATTAACCTCAACTATGTAAACTTCCCCCAGAGGCCGCAACACGATAGTGTCATCAATTCTCCCTCAAAATGATAGGGATTAAGTAGGATTTCCCCTCGACTCAGCTTTTGTGAAACCCACGTCACGCGGCAGATGCGTGACGAGGTCAGGAGCACAGTTGATAGGGGATCTAGCTCAACAAAGGTCGGCTCTATCTGCAGGCAGTCCACTGTTGACGTTGGCGTCGAAGCTCTCGGTGCAGCACCAAATGTCTGGGCATTCATTCACCTGTCTCAACGACGAACGCATGCGACGCTGGCCAGATCTCTAGACGGAGACATGCATTCCCAGGCAGTTCGGGTATACGTTGGCGAGCTCGGGTTACGGCTATTGTTGGCGTGGCGCACAAGGCGGTGGCCGAGTGATTCGGACTTGATGCTGAGAAGGTGGAAGATCTGTTGGGCTAACATGTCACTCATGGTCTCACCTAGCAGGAATGCAACGCCAAATTCTGCTCCATATCCTGGCTAGTGTTGATTCAACCGCTCCTGCGCTTTGGACCACATTGAATGACTGGTGCCCGTGGCGCCCTAGTGCCCAGGAGAACTCGTATATGGTCAGAGAGATGGTTTGAGAACACAGAATTGTAGAGCCAGAGACTGCCAAGCCGAGCACCGGAATGTATCAAGAACTACTGGTGGTGTAAACTTCAAGCATTCTGGCATGAAGTTAACAGTTCGAAACAGGATTAGGGCGGCGTCAACCGTTCGTGGCAAGGGGATGTTCATCTTGGCTCGGGCCGCAAAAGCAGCGGGACACGAGGGTCTCCAAAATTTTGAGATGTTCGCTTTACCACTCGTGAACCAGATCTGCGGGCAGTTAACTATCACTTGGGGACACGCATATTGGATTGTCAACGTCTTATCCGACTTCAGGTTCTGTCAGGGGTAATATTTGAGACCCAATAACCTAGGAACGAACGCCCTTTTACATCGATCCGTCTGCGCCAACCTCTACGCAGCCACCAGGCATCGACCAATTCACGCCATATTTACGCCCACGTTGAATCAACGGAAATTCGCGACGCAGACTGAAGAGGCGAGCGAGTCTGGTTGGACCGAGATATCTTCACCATGGCGATGCAACTGGATCTATCTCAGGCACAAATTCTGAAAGATGAGACCGGAAGGCCTTTCATTGTGGTCCGAGACCAGGGAAAGAAGAAGAGAACACATGGCATAGAAGCAGTCAAGCAACACATCGTTGCGGCTCGCACGATCGCCAATATTGTGAGAACCTCGTTGGGGCCACGAGGTCTCGATAAGATTCTCATATCTCCAGACGGGGACATTCAGATATCGAACGACGGTCGCACAATCATGTCGGAGATGGAAATAACACACCCCATTGCTAAACTCATGGTCGAACTTTCAAAATCACAAGATGAAGAAATTGGTGATGGTACCACGGGCGTCGTCGTCCTGGCTGCTGCTCTCCTCGATCAAGCCGCAGACCTCATCGACAAAGGCATCCATCCCATTCGAATTGCAGACGGTTTCGACCAGGCTTGTGAGGTTGCCGTGGCACATCTGGACAAGATCAGCGACGAGATTGCCTTCAGTCGCGAGAAGCAGGAAAATCTGATCAAGGTTGCCAAAACGAGTCTTGGAAGCAAGATCGTCAGCAAGTCTCACGACCAGTTCGCGAAGATTGCTGTCGATGCCGTCATGTCTGTTGCCGACCTCGACCGCAAAGATGTCGATTTTGAGCTCATCAAGGTCGATGGCAAAGCGGGCGGTTCGATCGAAGACTCTCTGCTGGTAAAAGGAGTCATCATTGACAAGGACTTTTCTCATCCACAAATGCCAAGCGAGGTGAGGGACGCCAAACTGGCGATCCTGACGTGCGCCTTCGAACCCCCCAAGCCGAAAACGAAGCACAAGCTCGACATATCTACGGTCGAAGAATTCAAGAAGCTACAACAATACGAAAAGAATAAATTTGTGGAGATGATTGATATGATCAAAGCTACGGGAGCAAATCTCGTGATCTGTCAGTGGGGTTTCGATGATGAGGCAAACCACCTGCTTCTTCAGAACAAGCTTCCAGCTGTACGCTGGGTTGGCGGACCCGAGATCGAGCTGATTGCAATTGCCACCAACGGTCGAATCGTGCCGCGATTCGAGGACTTGAGCAGCGAGAAGCTAGGCACGGCTGGTATTGTTCGGGAAATGACATTTGGTACCACCCGAGAAAAGATGTTGGTGATCGAGGAGTGCGCCAATACGCGAGCGGTCACAGTCTTCGTGAGGGGCAGCAACAAGATGATCATCGACGAAGCGAAGAGATCACTCCATGACGCTCTCTGTGTTGTTCGTAATCTAGTTAGAGACAACCGAGTCGTCTACGGGGGCGGTGCGGCTGAGATTGCTTGTTCCATCGCTGTCGAGGATGCGGCCTCGAAATCACCGGGTCTGGAACAGTATGCCATGAGAGCGTTTGCCGACGCCTTGGATGCAATTCCGATGGCACTGGCAGAGAATTCTGGTCTGAGTCCAATTGAGACATTGGCCGCGGTGAAGTCGCGGCAGATCAAAGAACAAAACTCTCGGCTGGGTGTTGATTGCATGGGAACGGGAAATAATGGTATGTGACATTGCTTTGCTGGTCTTCGGCCTCTACTGACTTGTGCAAGATATGCGTGCCAACTTTGTCATCGACCCCCTGATTGGAAAACGGCAGCAGTTGCTCCTTGCAACACAGTTATGCCGAATGGTAAGTGCGGTCGTCCTGCCATGTGATCCATGTAGCTCACGAATGTCTAATAGGTCCTGAAAATCAACAATGTGATTGTGGCGGGGAACGATGATAACGATTTTTAGATGTGTTCAAGCAGCAGCAGCAGCAGCGCGTCAGCATTTCACGGCGTTTATGCAAAAGACCTGCATGAAGATATGATTCGAAAGAATGTACAAAATGATACCCGTCGGCAGATCGGATAGAAAAATCAAAAGCTGTTGAACGTCATCAAAGTGGCCTTGTCTGCATTGGAATTATTTCGCTTGACTTCGGTTCTCGTAGAGGAAAGGTCTATGAGTCTTCACTATCTGGGGATCATCCTGTGGGAGATGACAAGTCTAGCGGCAGACACAGCCTTGATCTTCTCCTACCGAAGGCGCCGTTGTTCGTGCTGTTGGCAGTGCCTCAAGTTTCCGCTCGATATCATATTGAGATATTCTCAGAGCCTCCACCTTGGATGAGAGAGGCGGTTTGTCTTGTATCAGTCGTGTTCGCCCCATTCATGTCGATATAAGGGAAGCCCCAATCGTCTGACCCACGATCGACAGGAGTTTACAAAGCCGAATCATGCAAGGCTGTAGGTGGAGCTGGAGAAACCGTGTCCATGTTGATTGGCTCTTCAGAGGTAAGCCGCTTGCATATCAGCTCCACATCAACTGACAAAGTTGCGAGTCAGCATGACGAGAAGGTTTTAGTGCTCTGCGCAGTTCTTGCCCTGGGTTTGAAGTGTTGTCCTGGGGACGCCACAAGCTGACAAGAATTCTCTCGCAAAATGGACAGTGCTTCGAGCAGAGGGAACATACGAAATGAAAGACGCGATGCATGTCCAACCGTCACGAATTGTCTTCGAACGGAGACTGCCGACGGCGGCAAGGAGGGAAGAGGACGACTGGACCGGCCTGTCGGATGCAAGAATTAGGAGAAGAATTCAAAATCGTCTGAATCAGCGGACTTATCGTATGTTGAGGAAATCTGCCCAACGATCATGCAGTTGCCTGACAAACTGCTGTGCTTCCAGGCCTCCGAAGAGCAGCTGAACGAGCGGCCGAACAGGCGTCAGCGACTTGCAGCCCGCAAACACTCGTTCCACTCGCACCTAAGGAAGTTGTACCTGCAGCAGATCCGGAAATAAAAGTCAATCAGATGCAATCTAAGCGAGATGATTCGTTCCACAATGTTGCCCGCCATCAGGTCACATTGAGCCCTCAGCCAGTGCTTTGTCGAATCTCCTCTTCAGAACCCGCATGTACGGCGCTGCTGGCGAATCCCAAGGTACGGAGAGTATACGACTACACTGTCAAAACTCTTTGGCCGTCGTTCAAGCATCACAGCCTCGAGACCAACGAGTCCTTGACCTCAGCCTTCCTCCATCTCAGCCTGGTCGACGAGCTGCTGCTCAATTCATTCATATGGACAGCCGCGATGGCAATGTCGATGCACCTGCGTCATACCGCCAGTGACAACGAAACGGTCATGTTCACCTGCCAGAACAAGGCCGTCCAGGGGATCCGGGAGCACATCGCGCGGAACGAAGTATCGGACTCGGTGATCTTTGGAGTCCTCGCTCTCACGATCCGCGACACTAACCCACATGTCGCCGTGCAGGAGGCCGCGGGAGAAGACTGCTTCGGGGGTTTCGATCCTCCGCTACGATCGCTCGGGTGGATACAATATTTCTCCCACTTTCGCTGGACGCCGTCCCACATCCGAGCGACCATTGCACTAGTGGCTGCGCGAGGAGGTTTACGAGGCGTCACGATGCCCGGTATCGCCGAGCAGATCCAGTCGACCGACCTTCTCCAGGCA